CATTTATTATGATGTTACTTATTGGTCCAGTTTTGAGGATTTTTGTTTTATTTACATTGAGGTGTAATCCATATTGAAGGCAGTCTTTGATCTTCATCAGTAAGTAGTTTAAGTCCTCTTTGTTTCTAGCAAGCAAGTTATATCTCTGCATATCACATATTGTTAATGATTCTTCTTCCAAACCTGATGCCATGTTCTTCTTTATATAATCCAGATTCTCGGATTATTTGCTCAACATTGTTGTTGTTGTTGTTGTTGTTACTAAGTGCTGTTGAGTTAGGATCTGACTCATAGTGGTCCTGTACCCTGTTTCTGAGGAGCAGCTGGTGAATTGGAACTGCCGGCCTTTAGGGCCCAAACTGACTTGGCTGGTTACCACATTAACCAGCAGCAGCACACCAGAAGTCCTTGCTCAGCATAGAGATTGAATAAGTATGGTGAAAGAATACAACCCTGGCACACACCTTTCCTGATTATGTACTGTTATTGTTTTAAGTGCCATTGTGTCAGTTCTGACCCATAGCAACCTTACATACGGTTTCTGAGGAGTTGCTGGTGAGCTTGAATCGTCAATCTTGTGGTTCAAACCAACATTGCAGTTGAGTGCATTAACCCACAGCACCACACCAGGACTACATAAATCAGGTATATTGTTCACATATTCACAGATATTGTTTCATGTAACCCTCACAACAACCCTATGAGAAAGGCCTGTCATTATCTCCAAAATGTATATGAGGAAACAGACACAAGGTGTTGTAACCTGACAAATGTCACACATGAAGGAAAACGTGAGTATGGGTTCAAATCAAGTCTTACTCAGCCACCACACTGATGAATTCAAGCTGTGCCCTCTGACACCTTAGCTAATTACCTAATAAAGCTGGCTCGAGCCAGAACACTCCCATGAGAGTCAGCACAGTCTCCTGAGAGCCCATAATGTCTCCCTCAGTTGACCGTTCCATATTTATTCTCTGCTTCATCATACTGTCAGAGACATCGAGAGTCTGAGATAAATCTGCAGTGTCAACTTCACCAAGATCATCAGCAGCAAAGTTTATTTGCCACATAGAAAGTCTAATGTCTCACTCGATGAGCTGAATACAAAGGGAAATTAAACAAATCAGAATTCTCAAGAGATGGCAAGGACTGGACTCCACATGATCACAAGGTAATCCAATACTGGATTAAAAAAAAAAAAGTCCAGTATTCCTAGACTTGGGCACAGAAGCAGAAGAGTTATAAAAGATGTAATGCTCTGTATCCTGTGTTATTATGGATGTCATTGTTGTTTGTTGTCAAGTAGATTCTGACTCATAGCAATAGAGTACAGCTACCCATAGACTTTCCTAGCCTTTCATGGGAGTAGATTTCCAGATCTTTTCTCCCAGTAACCATTCCATTAATAGCCAAGTGCTTACCCATTGTACCACCAGGTTCCTAAGTACTTGGTAACATCCTCCAAATGCTTTAGAAACAAGTTCTTATATTTATGCTAAAACATCATGGAGAGTTGAGTGAATGCATGA